AAGCGTTGTGAAGGATCGTTAATATTAATAAAAGGCAGTGCTGCATCAAGACCAACAATTGATTCAATTTTGCCTAATTTAACTTGTTTTCCAGCAAAACCAGCAATATGTGCTCCCAAACTATGTCCAATTACAACCAATTCGTTAAAATTTAATCCATAATTGGAATGCAAAAAGTCAATTAATTTTGCGACTGCTGTACCTACTTCAGGATATACTTTCGATGCGACTGTTACGTATTCCCTAAAGGAATACTTGCTCCAATCAACAGCAATCACATTATAGTCTCCTGTCGCTAAATATGCTTCTCTTATAGGACGATTTGGTACTTGCTCATAGGATGCAAGAAATCCATGAATAATAAATCTAGGAATTTAAAGGAATATTTCATTCAAAATATGCAATATATATGGTAATAATTATCAAATATTGTAATTTGTATATTGTAATTTGTAAACATTGAAAAATTTTAAAATAGTACTCACTTGGTCTTACGTGAACTATCGTAATTGGACACTGCTACAGAATTGTCTTTATAACTGATTATTTGTGGATCTTCCGGATTTTGATTAGTGTAGAGGTAGAACTTAACACTATTAAGAACGTCCAATGGGTTTATTACAGCATTATTCGCAACTGAAAAATCTGTGGTTGGATTGGGATCATAGAATAAGGTTTTTACTTAGTTACTGCAAATATTATTTATTCAATGTATATTACCAAAATATGCGAAAATTAATAGAATTATATATGTCTTCATGTTGAACGAAATAAAACTTTCTGATGAACTCTCAGAAAATGTTCGAACTTATATATTGTCGAAAGTAACTAGTTTATTTAAATAAGTTTTATGATAGATTACCTTTAATGACTTTTTTAGATAATTGTTCAGATATTTTAAGCTAATTACCTCAATACAGATAAATGTAAAAAGCAAATAATTTTAAAGACCGTTACGATTTTTAACATAATTAATTGCGTTGTTGAGACATTATAACTTAAAATTATAAATTAATATTGTAGGCTCTTCCATCATTAAAACTTCTACCAAAAAACCCACAACTATTGCTAATGATCTATTAACCGCACACTTACTTCTAAAATACTTAAGTATAAGTGAATTTAAATTGATCATATGATGTTAATTAAATATTTTTTCTTCTTCTGTTTGCTTACATATGTTAAATACATGTGATTTCCAGATTTAGATTGAAATAGAATGTGACATTGTAATATTTCTAGTACATTTAATAACATCAAAGCAAATCCTAATAAAAGAAGTTATTCAAAAATGTGGTAAAATGTGATATAGTAACATATAGTAAAAAATATAGTATTTGAAGGAAAGATATGATAGTACAGATTTCTGCGAATGAAAAGAATGCTTGAAACTCTATTGCTGTGGCAGAACTACCAGACATATTTTAAAGGTTTTTTTAGAGTATGAACCCGACCTGAGTGAGATTTGAAGCCAGACCGTGTATGCCTTAGTTATAGTAACATATATTATTGCTCATAACCTTATATATGATATCATATTAAAAACTGTATTTTATATAAGGGGAAACATCATTACTAATAATCGTACTCTCCTGATCGATTTTTAACACAATAAAACTTTATTTTATTTTTATATTTACTTTCAATTAATTAAATTAATTAATTAATTATTTAAATTTTTACAATTATATTGAATATGTCACACTAAACGTTATAAAATACTAATATATAACTATATATAAACTTATATATATTTCTGCTGCGACCTGGTTTGCTATAGTAAAATGTGTAAGGTAAAGTGAAAACAACATTATCTGTTTTTTCGCTCTAACCTATTTTGTGTATGCTTCTTAATATTACACAAAAAGACTTAATTTATCCTTTATGAGGCATACAGGATAAAACTCTTTCTTCGTATGGCATTATAACTGTCATTACCAAAAAAAGTACCAAGTACTATATAATTTCGGTCACTCTCTTTAAACAAAATCTAAATGCCATTATTGGAAAGAATAACCATCCAGATATTGCCAAGTATTGCATTATCTTTATTGCGATATTGTTAATTGAGCAGGTAAATTTTTACTTAAATCACCAGTCAACTTATAAAGCTAGTACTACTCATCCAACAAATTCAAAAATTGTTCTCTCGCTCATAAATTTATTAAACACGTAGTTTACAATGGAAACCAACAAGGAATTCTACCTAAAATTTTCAGCGACTAATGGACTTACTAACAAATTATTAAGTTAACTTCTTTGTATAATGAAAAAATATATGTGTTACTCAAGTATCGTAGCGGTCTAAGTCCTAGTTGTTTTACGAGTTCACCTGCCGCGTAGTATTCTTACACTGTTTTAATCATGCATTTTAAGTTAATGCCAATTAAAGCGACCCATAAATTTTGGCGGCACCAATTACAGTTAAATATTTGAATATTACGTTCCCTTACTAAGGACCTCTGCTTATCCTCTGCTGTTTTTTGGGTTAGCCACCCAGTTAAGAAATGCAACTCCACATAAAATTAAACCATAAATTTAAACCTAAACCCTTCATAGATGAATTTATATACAGTCTCCATGACACTCTAGTAAGAAACCAGCCTAGTGTTCAGGAGAACCGAAATTACGGGCGCTTTGATCCCATAATACCAACAGTACGACGGGATTGTGATCGTGTGCGGTAAATGAAATCCACTTTCTAAAAGTTATACTCCGAAATAGTAAAGGTTGGTGCCTGTTGAATTTTAATCACTTCTTACCACAAACATATCCTGTTACGAAAATAATCTTACCCCTATCCGAAACAAGGTACTATTAAATATGGGAATTTATATTTTTCCTTAGTTTTTTAAATTGAAAAAGAGCACATTCACTTCTAGGACCGAATAGTATGACTAAAGTACTAATACCGCTTGAGAATATTACACTAGAATAGTAAAAAACATCCACTACATTCTTAAATACTCAAACAAAGTTGTAACATAAGGTGCTATAAAGAAATTATACTATTTAACAAAAAGTAATTAAGAACTCTATGTGACCCTTTAACAATATTTCCGAAAACATCCTTGAGAGAAAGAAACAATACCGAATCCATTTATTTGCACATGAATCACTTCCATAATTAATTATACGCTGAATATATGTTAATGATTTAGCTGGCAACAATTCGAAGATCTTTGATTAATATCTACTAAAGAAAATAATTAATCTACAGAACAGATGATACGGCAGACCAGCAAATAGCTGACGAGAGCTGGTGAGAGCTGACAAATAACAAGCGTATTGCTCGTATTGTATAGAGAGTATGAAAGTAAAAGTATTGAATTAAAGTATTCTCATATTATAAAAATTATAATATATTGAGCAAGTTTATTATTTTCGTATTATAAATATAATATACCATATAAGTATATACACGGTATATATGGTGTTTGTTGAAATCTACTATGCACAATAAAGGCAGATGGATGATGATAAAGATTGAGTCCAATATTTAATTTTTAGTTTTGTGCACATTTTGCATATATATATATTATTATAAAGTTATTTCTACTTTTAAATAATAAATTTTACTTTTTTTGGCTCAAATTCGGGCGCAGTGTTCCCACTACTTCGAAAGTTTGCTGTCAAATCTGTTCAGGTCCTAAATCTGTTCAGGTATGGGTGAAATTCAAGCAGAATAGAAAAGCAACTGCTCAGATAAAGTCCTCTATATAACATACTTCACTAATACTTTTGCAAAATATGAATAAAACATCCAAATGTTTAACTAAGTAGAATGAAAATAATTGTAGGTATATTTTTACTGAAATGGTTTCAAAATTTCGTGGCCCTCTACAAAACGAAGTACATTTTTAATGTTTCTAGATTTTTACTACTTACGTACTTGAAAGGTACGGGAACAAACATGTTATGTATATTATAAATATACTTTTGTTATTAATTAATCTTGGTTTAAAACACAGTCGAAGAATATGATGGATGTATAAATTTTACGAGTAATACTCTTACTTTAAGCAAAATGCTATTGTTAAAAATTTGGGTAAAATTAAATTACCTTTGCTTATGCAAACCAACAAAATTTTGGTTACGTTTAATATATAGATTATCTATATATTCTATATAAACTTTTCTTCTAAAATAAAAGTAAGTGATTTTAAAAATTATATAAATTTATAAAAAATAGTTTACATATACTTTATACATTATGATATTAATCACGGTTGCCACTTGAAAATTTTTGCCTGTACCAAAATTGGTTGAAAACCATTTCTGTAAAAAAGGTTGTTTTTTCGTTCTGTGTTTTTCATAGTGTTATAAATGAACAAAATATAAAATAATGCAAAGTTGCATTTATAAAAAAAATTAATTGGAAATATCCACAATAAAGTTGGGTCGTCAAAAATGTACCATTTTTTGAACATGAGTACCAAACGAAAAAAAAAAGTACCAATTTTGGTACTAAAGTACCATAAGTGGCAAACGTGATATTAATAGAATAATAATAATTTGTAAAATATAATATAAAACATAAAATATATTATTATAAGATAGTAAAACTTTTCTTAAGTAAGAGTTATTAGTTTCTAGTAACTCTTATTTAATAAAAAACTCCCTGTAATTTCTTCACAATCAAAGGATCTCCAACTTGTACATCGACTTCATTATTACAACCGGTTTCTTCCACAATTTCTTCAAATGAGCTACACTGAGAGTCGGGCGCATACAACTAACCTTTCACTCCAGTCGCATACAATAAAGGAACAAATACAGTATACATCAACTCCACATCCTTCAAGACCGCGTCCCCAATTCGGATAAAACGAGGTATCACCAATTGGTCTTATAATACCTTCTTTTCCAGCCGTTGCATCTTCATAATCCCAATGTTCAATTGCAAATGGTATGTAAAATTTATTTAAAAAATATAAATATGTCACAATATAATTATTATATACACCATAAACCATAACCTATTTAATTATATTCTCGATATACACAAGTATTAATATAAAATGCATATTATATGTATTATTAAGTAACAATAAATTATTGATTAAAACATGAAGAAACTTCTTTAAAAGAGAAGTGCTAGCTTTGAAGCATCCTTAATTTCAAAATAGAAAATTCCTGGTAATTTCTTTACAATCAAAGGATCTCCGACTTGTACATCGACTTCTTTATTGCAACCGGTTTCTTCCAAAATTTCTTCAAATGAGCTACATTGATAAATGGGCGCGTATGAATAACCTCTTACTCCAGCCGCATAAACTAGAGGAGCTGCATTATGAGAGCAAAGACCCAATGTATCAACGCCACATCCTTCTAGACGCCGACCCCAATTTGGATAAAATGCGGTGTGTCCAACTGGTTTTATAATACCTTCTTTTCCTATCGTTGCGTGTATTGTTACAACATAATTTGCATCGGTTATTGACAAGCGTTGTGAAGGATCATCAACATTAATGAAAGGAAGAGCTGCATCAATACCAACAATTGCTTCAATTTTACCCAATTTAACTTGTTTTCCAGCAAAACCAGCAATATGTGCTCCCAAACTATGTCCAATCACAACCAATTCATTAAAATTTAATCCATAGTTGGTATACAAAAAGTCAATTAATTTTGCAACTGCTGCGCCTACTTCGGGTAATACTTTCGATGCGACTGTTATATATTCCATATTGGCATATTTTCTCCAATCAACAGAAATAACATTATAGCTTCCAGTTACTAAATATGCTTCTCTTATAGGACGGTTTGGAACTCTCGTGTAGTTTGAATACCATCCATGAATAATAATTCTTATGATTAGAAGCACGCATTAAAAAAAAAAAAATTAAGAAAAAATAATGTGTATATGTCATTGTTTTAAATGAAAAAGTTGGAAATTAGTACTCACTTGGTCTTATGTGAAGAATCGTAATTGGACACGGCTACAGAATCGTCATTATAGTTGATTATTTGTGGTTCTTCCGGATTTTGATTAGTATAGAGGTAGAATTTAACACTTTCGACAACATCCACTGGGTTTATTGCTGCATTAATTGCAGCTGAAAAATCTATAATTAAGAGCATAGAAAATAATTTTTACTTATATTTTACTTATTTTATTTATTTTTATTACCAAAATACGCGAAAATTAATAGAACTATGTATGTCTTCATGTTGAACGAAATATAACTTTCTAGTGAACTCTCAGAAAATGTTGGAACTTATATATTGTCTGAAGCAATTACTTTATTTAAATTAGTTTCGCTTCTGATTATATTACGACTTTTAAAGATAATTTTAAAAGTATTTTAAACTAATTACTCTAATGCAGATAAGACTAAAACGAAAATAAATTCAATAATATTTACTCATCTTGACTTAATTACTACAAATTTAGTTATAATGTAAATTTAAAGATATATTTTGAATAAGTAGATACTACTGTCTTTAAGAACCAATTATTAAAGAAATAATTAACTACATCAATCAGTGGTGTATTAAATGGGGGTAAAATCAAGATGTTAAATATATATAATTTATATATTTATTTTCATAAATATTTTTATAATTTGTTTTTACGAAAATTAACTCCAGGCTTATAAATGCACTTGTCAAACAATTTTTTTTTCTTTTGTAGAATTTTTTAGCCATATTTCTATTTCATAGCTTCTAGGGCTCTTTTTCCGCCTAAAAAGACGCTTCTCTCCCCTTGTCTTTTATTAATATCGTTCTTTAGCAGCACGCGTAGCAACTTACCATTTGATGTGCTGCATCTTTCTCTGCGGTAGCTTTACGACACACCTGATCGTATCAGTTGTTCTTTACCTTCAGTTATAGCCAATCACCTCTTCTGCAGCGGCACATATAAAATGGAAGATGTAGTTCCATTACACATATATATTGGTTTCTTCAAGTTAGAAGACAGTGGAAGAATCTAGAAACAAAGTCATTGGATGTTTGTTATAATTGCATTTTTCTGAGACGTAGCTTTTAATGTTATTTTTCTAGTATTTTTTTCATCATACATAAGTGGGTGTGGATTTTGGTTGCAACAAGATAGTGATCCGAATCAATTGTAGCTATCCAGACGGGGATATTAAGAGACTGTGTGCCAACTTAAAGAGATGATCGAGTTTCTAAAATCGCACTGGCATTTACCGAATTAAATACAATCAGACACTTTTTCTTTTATGTTAACCCCCTAACCCCGTGTGTATTTTACACTCAATGTATTTGTTGCTTATGTTGTATTGGTTTGAAAATGAGTGAAATTTGTAAAATATAAGAAATATGCTATATGATGCTTTATTATTTTATATCTTATTATAAATAAGATGAAACCACTGCGAAAACATGCCGAACAATTTGGACGGTTTACGGTAAAATTGCTTAACGTCGAATACTTTTTATATTACCCAATATAAGTACCTATTATTTATGTAATAACCAGAAATTTTGATAATAAAACATACAAAATATTTGAGAAACTTGTTGACTTTTAAAAATAATTAACGAAAAGCCAATTATAGAAGAGTTAGACCCATGTTATGCAGAAAGTCATGGGCACGTCAAAATTGAAATTGTTGTTGCTTTTAATGCAAATTAAAAAGTTGGGAGTGAGAGTGAAAGTGAAAGGAAAAATAAAATGTCGGTTTAAATTTGGTCACGGTGAAGAGGATTCATGTGCTGCATAATGTTAGTGTCCATGACTTTCTTTATAGCATGGGCCTTAGTTTTAGTGTATTTTTTTTTGTGGCAAAGACGAGTGGAATGCCTACGCACTGATCACAATCCGGCGCTCCGGAAAGTGAGTGCCCAAATCGCACGAACTAAATCACTCCTCCTCATTTCTGGAGACATTTTCCTACCTCGGGACTACGTTAGATTTACTTCGAGGTAGGGTCCCTATCAGTCATTTAAGACTTTGTTTTGTTCTCGTCCTTAGAGAGAAAACACCAACTTGCGCTGCTAGTGCTTCTCTTTCGGGCAACCACTTATTGCACTTAAAGAATGTGTGTTCTGCAATATCATCGTCAGTTTTGATGTTAGAACAGAGTGTCTTTAAAAAGTGCTGTTAAAAGCAACTCTAAAAAACAATATTGCTTTCTACATATATAAATGAATTCGTTTTATACATATTAAATCTACTACTTATTCTTGTTATAATTAATATAGTGTATTATAAAATTTAATTGACAAAAAATATTTTATTTATAAAATACACCACTATTTTCAATATATGTACATAGTTGTATAAATCTGGTTCAAATTTCAATTACATATAATATATATAAATATAAGTATTTATTACTTTTTCTGTATATATCATAGTAAAATAATTTATAAATTTATAAATGTATTGATGGGATTTTTCATTATTGGCTATATGCAAAGGTTCCTTTAGGCCGAACCTATATAATATAATAATATACAGGGTGGCTGACGAAAATTACAAAAAACTTTTCACCGATCTAGTGTCAAACCAACAATGACAGAAAGCTCAAAATTAATTCATTTGTAGAAAAGAAGCCGTGCATGATCTGCAGGGATGAACAAAAAAAGACAGAGCCCAATGAGCCAAAAGGTTGATTTGTTCGGCCGAAAGTGATGGGTTGCCAAATTTGATTTTTTCGATGAGCCACCATTCGTAATTGAGCAGTACGTAAACAAGCAAAATGATCTAGTTTACTTGTCAGAGAGGTCAACTAAAAATTTAAACATACGAATGGTCACCAGAAAGTAGGGGCCACCGATGGTGATTGTGTGAACCACCGATATGGCCGGTAGTCGCTTTACCTTCGTTTTCAGCGACCGTGAGGTAAAAATACACACCCAAAGAATAAGAATGGCTGAAAAAAAACGTTCCGTGCTTTATTCTATCAACACAATGGACACCGTATTAACCTAATATGAACTCTTCAGATTTCTCGGTCTGAGGTATTTTAAAAAGTAAGGTAAAAAATACAAAAATGTCAATCGTCTGAAGCAAACACTAAGCCAAGAATGGGTCAAAATACCGCAAAACCAGTTACTGGCAGCGTGCGATAGCTTCATTAGTCGTTTGAAGGCCATTATTCAGGCTAGAGGGGGCCATATTAAATCATAATAAATTAACTTAATTATTTAAAGTTCTATTCACATATTTTCATTTATTTTTCATTAAATTTATCAAAAATAAACAAAATAGAACGTTTTATTTTGTTGCAATTTTCGGCGGCCACCCTGTATAAAGTATACCTTGTGCAGTTCCAGTTGTCTGTCGAGCTAGCAAACATCTTGATAATCTCAATGTTCAGTTCTAAGTTGTATGCAAAATTTATTTAAAAAATAAAAATATGTCACAATGTAACTATTATATACATCATAAACCATTAACTATTTTATTATTTTCTCGATATGCATAAACATATTATATCTATATGACAATAAATCTTTAGGTTCAAATAACTTATTGTGTTATTTGAATGTATGACTAAAAAATAATTAAACTTTTTTTAAAAAAACTTGCTAGCTTTGAAGCATTCTTAATATCAAAATAGAAAATTACTGGTAATTTCTTTACAATCAATGGATCTCCGACTTGCATATCAACTTCTTAATTGCAACACATTTCTTCAAAAATTTATTTAAATAAGCAATATTGATAGATGGGCGGATTTGAATAACCTCTCGTTCCAGCAGCATAAACCAGAATAGATTTTTCATGAGAACAAAAAGCAACTGGATCAGCGCCACAACCTTCTTGTCGACGACCCCAATTTGGATAAAAAGAGGTGTGACCATTGGTCTTGCAACACCAACCCTTCCGATCGAAGTGTGTATTGTGCACGATCTTCAATATCAACAAAAAAAGTTCTGCATCAAAACCAACAATTGCTGCAATTTTGCCTAATTTAACTTGTTTTCCAGTAATATCAGCAATATGTGTTCCGAAACTATAACCAACTACAACCAATGCATTAATATTTATCCATAGTTGGCATGCAAAAAGTCATTTAATTTTTGATTTTACTATAGTCAAAAAATTTGCCAATTCACACTCGTGCAGCTGAAATAGCAATCAACAGAAATACTTATTGAAATAGAAGCAAAAACCAACCGATATAATATATAGTATATAGTATACTTTGTACAATTTCCATTGTCTGTCGAGCTAGCAAACATATTGATAATCCCAATCTTCAATTCTAAATTGTATGTAAAATATATTTAAAAAACAAAAATATGCCATAATATATTTATTATATACACCATAAACTATTTAATTATATTCTCGATATACACAAGTATTAATATAAAATGCATATTATATGTATTATTAAGTAACAATAAATTATTGATTAAAATATGAAGAAACTTCTTTAAAAGAGAAGTGCTAGCTTTGAAGCATCCTTAATATCAAAATAGAAAATTCCTGGTAATTTCTTTACAATCAAAGGATCTCCGACTTGTACATCGACTTCTTTATTGCAACCAGTTTCTTCCACAATTTCTTCAAATGAGCTACACTGATAGATGGGTGCATATGAATAACCTCTCACTCCAGCAGCATAAATCAGAATAGATGTTTGGTGAGAACAAAAATCAGCAAATTTATCAACGTCACAATTTATTTGTCGACGACCCCAATTTGGATAAAAAGAGGTATGACCAATTGGCATTGCAATGCCGTTCCTTCCACTCGAAGTGTGTATCGTTACAACATAATTTGCATCGGTTCTTGACAAGCGTTGTGAAGGATCGTTAATATTAATAAAAGGGAGTGCTGCATCAAGACCAACTATTGATTCAATTTTGCCTAATTTAACTTGTTTTCCTGCAAAACCAGCAACATGTGCTCCCAAACTATGTCCAATTACAACCAATTCGTTAAAATTTAATCCATAATTGGAATGCAAAAAGTCAATTAATTTTCCGACTGCTGTACCTACTTCAGGATATACTTTCGATGCGACTGTTACGTATTCCGTAAAGGAATACTTGCTCCAATCAACAGCAATCACATTATAGTCTCCTGTCGCTAAATATGCTTCTCTTATAGGACGATTTGGTACTTGCTCATAGGATGCAAGAAATCCATGAATAATAAATCTAGGGATTTAAAGGAATATTTCATTCAAAATATGCAATATATATGGTAATAATTATCAAATATTGTAATTTGTATATTGTAATTTGTAAACATTGAAAAATTTTAAAATAGTACTCACTTGGTCTTACGTGAACTATCGTAATTGGACACTGCTACAGAATTGTCTTTATAACTGATTATTTGTGGATCTTCCGGATTTTGATTAGTGTAGAGGTAGAACTTAACACTATTAAGAACGTCCAATGGGTTTATTCCAGCATTAATTGCAACTGAAAAATCTGTGGTTGGATTGGGATCATAGAATAAGGTTTTTACTTAGTTACTGCAAATATTATTTATTCAATCTATATTACCAAAATATGCGAAAATTAATAGAATTATATATGTCTTCATGTTAAACGAAATAAAACTTTCTAATGAACTCTCAGAAAAAGTTGAAACTTATATATAGTCTAAAGTAACTACTTTATTTAAATTAGTTTCATTGTATATAGCGTTTAATAGGTTATTAAGATAACTTTAAAAATATATTATTCTAATTACCATTTAACAGATAATTGTAGAATAAAAATAAATCAATAATTTGGTACGATTCTTGACATAATCGACTGGTATTTACTTATAATATATTTCTAAAAAAAGATTTTAGAAAGAAAAGAAAATATATAATAGCAGAATAAAAATATTCTATTCTAATACGTAGAAGCTAATGAAAATCCAAAAGCAAATTATCTACAATCTATTCCTTACAACAACAACCATTGAACCAATTTTAAACTCTATTATCACCTTCTGATATTCCTAAGGACCGGATAGGGCATAAGGACTGTTCACTTTGTTAATTATTTAAAACATTTTTTTAAAATTCAGTCGATAGATAAATATTGACGGATTTCATCTATTATATAATTGATATATATACATCTAATTATACGTCTATTTTTTTCTTGTTGAGTATATGTAAGAGTCGTCACAAAAATCTATAGAAATTTGAAAATGTTATCAAATCCAACGTATTAGTATATTTAAAAAATTTTATACAAACGTATGTTTAATTAATAAAACATCGGATAATATATAATTACACAGGGCGAAGAACCTAATAGTCCAGGTATTAATCCTTATTCTCAGTTAACTTTAAAATTAATTTTAGTGTTAACTCACAAAGAAATAAATATAATTAAATTCATTTTTTTAATATTTAATATTTTAAATATATACAATACCTGAAAAATTTATTCATTAATAAATGAATGAATTAAGTATTAATAATAGTCATATAAGTAAAAATTTTTAAACAGTTTATTTTTTAATAATGTAATATTAAAAAATTATAAATATATTTTTTAAAACTAATATCTTAATATTAATATTTTTAATATTAAATAGAAAGCTACACAATGTAGTGCATAGTACTCCTCATATATTACTCATAAAATAATTAAAATAATTTACTAATAATAGTGATACTACGAGTAATAGTTTAATATTTATTATCAAATGTATTTAAAAGTAATCAAAATTATTTTAAAAATATTTTTAAACTTAATTATTTTTTCTAATCGTTCACTAATTATTAAAAAATAGTTAAGGCAAATAAAGAACTTATTTTTTACTTTACAAACGATATATACGGTATATTTTTACAAGTGTATAAATAAATATTTTTATATATTTAATTCAATACCATTATATTTATATATGAATGTACTATGTATGATATAAGCTCATTTAAGTTATATTATATAGCCAACCAATTTCATTAATCTGCTGCATAGAAATATTTGATATATAAATCGAGTTGAAGGCCCTGCCAGCTAGTACTCGTTTTTCCTATCTTGGTATAAATTCTTATTATTTTGTGATTAATTATCTGCTTCTTCTTTGTTCCGTTAACTTCCAGTGGAGCGTAGGGCCTCATGTAATTTATTATAATAAATAAATCAATCAACTATAAGAACAAATTAACATATATGTAGACTGGAAATAACGTAAATAAGAGAATAGATCAGACATAGATGTTAGGAGTACATAAAAGAATTTATTTAAAGAACTTAAAATTCTCTTCAAAACTACAACTTATTAGTATCTGAAGTTTATATATATACACCAATCGATATATCAATATAGTTGCACGGAAAAAAGAAATATAGAAATCTGTATGTTCAAACCAGTATGTTGAAAAATATGAAGAACCAATTAATTACTTTGAACCGAACTGTTCTGTGGGGTAAAAATCACACCCTATTTACCCTATCGGCAGCTTGACGCTTGATTCTAAATTTCTTTAGTAGAGAGTGAGAAGAGGGCATGATTCGACATCTTTAATTTCGGACAACGAAAATTGATGCTTCTCTTTAGCTTTATTATAGTATATAATATATATATTATATATAATATTACTTCACTTAATATATAAAACAAAAAATTGATACAACTATTTTGCGAAATCCTTGTAAGAAATGACAATCCTGGAAATGATTTAATAAAACTTAAAAAAATGCTATAATCTTCCAACTAAGATACTTTAATTTTAGGTATATGGTTCTGCTAAATAATATGAAATATAAGGCTTCACAATTTCTAACCCTTTTTCGAATGACATTGCCCCTGTCTCTGCTGTAACTCTGATCTAAAATCTTGGTAACAAGAATGTCTTACACATAGTTTATAGTTAGTCTGTCATCACTTTGCTCTACATTCTTAGCAATAATAATCTCTTACAGAGAGTTTATGCTTAGTCACGCATTAGTAATAATATCTTCCATTACTTTCTTCATTGAATCAAAAGTTTTGCTTATTATTGTCTGCTAATGTTCTAATGTCTGCCTATTTTATGACGACTGAAATGATATTTTAGCATTGGACCTTTATGATACAACATCTGTTATCTATCCGTTTTACATTTCTAAGAAGTATAATGCTTTAAATAGGTTCAAATCTCATAATATCGTTTTAGATGCTTTTCGCCTAAAGTCAACAACTAACATCAATTTCGCACGAAAAGCTAACATAAAAGTTTATAAAAAAGTCTAAAAAAATTTTGACATTGTACTTTACTGACTAACACCTAACACTGTCGTTACTTAATTTCAATACTGGATTAAGTGATATTCCACAAAATTTAAATATTTTAGAATATTTTCTTATATGTAGTTCTATATAAATTTTTCGTGCGAAATTTATATTTATACTAGGTTTAATGTAAAAAATCAAAAATTAATTTAGTTTATGTATAATACCTTGTGTGTTTCCATTTGTCTCATTAAGTTTTGCTCATTAAGATGCTAATGCGGAGAGTTTATACTGGATTCACACTAGAGTTTTGTTTGTAATAGTTGTCAAAAATTTTTAACTGACATCTGAAATCAAATAGCAAAAATATCGATTCACACGATGTTCCTTATAATTTGAAAATCAATTTTGTCATATGTTCACACTTTTTAACTACGAGTACTATCACAAAATATTTACCTTGCAAATATGATACATACATATGACAAATGACAGTTTTGTTTCATTTTGTATGAAAGTTTCATTGAGTCCTTAAAACTATTCGCAATCGCAAAAATTTGTACTGCGGAATACTGTACTACGATGAACTTTCCAAGTCAAAATTAATTTGATTTTATAAAAATTACGTTTCAATTCCTTTTTCAGCTGTCAAAATTTCCATACAAATCTTCTTAATGTGAACTTGTTTTACTGTCGAAATCAAAAATAAACTCTCATATGCTGTCGTTTCTCTCGTATGAATCCAGTATTACCATACAAAAAGCTTTCATATAAATGAGCTCATTATAAATAAAACAACTGATTTATGGAGAAAAATTTCGATTTTTACAAGAGATATGATCAAAATTTGCTATCGAAATCAAGAATAATTTGAAATAATAGCTACAAATATAAACAAAATTCTCGTGTGAATCGAGTGTTACAATACAAAGAACTTTCATATAATTGAGCTCATTATAAATAAATCAACTGATTTAAGTAGAAAACTGTCCATTTTTACAAGGGATATGATCAAAATTTGAAATATTTGTTATACGTTTTATATATGTAAAATGTAAACAATCAAGTTATTTCACATGTATAAATCAGTTTATGCCAATGGAAACGACCATTGATTTAATCTGAATTTCATTAACATAAATAAGTAGTTTTAGCTGCAGTGGAAACATAATATTATTTACAATTATAAAGAAAACTCTTGTGTGAATCCAGTATTTCCGTAGAATGAGCTTTCATATAAATGAGCTCATTATAAATAAGTCAACCGATTTAAGAAGAAAAATGTCGACTTTTACAAGGGATATGATTAAAATTTAAAATATTTGTTATACGTTTTATATATAAAATCTAAACAATAAAGTTATTTCACATGTATAAATCAGTTTATGCCAATGGAAACGACCATTGACAAAATTTTAATTTCATTAACATAAGTAAGTAGTTTTAGGTGCAGTGGAAACATGATGTTATTTAAATTTAATATAATAATTTGAATATGAGAGAAAGTATTCTTTTTTTAAACATGTACATAAACTTCTTTAAACATATATTTATGTAGGTACAATATCAGTAAACATAAAATACTGATATATGTACAATAAAACACATAGTTTATATCTATAAAGCAACTATAACTGCTCACTTAGTAGGTTAATAAACCGTTTTCCTAACAAATTTTTATATTCATAGAATTTATGATTTAATATATATTAGTTTGTTTGTACTCATCTAGTTGGTCAAGCATAAACGAGTGTTTAATACAAAATCCATTACGAATACTTTCTTTAGAATGTTTACAGATTACAGACACGCGCTCTCAAAGGTGCCACATTACGCTTAAAAAATAGCACAAACCACAATTTTTTTTCCATTCCAAACAATAATAACTGAATAAAAAGTTGTAGTGGAGTTGTAATAATATAGCTCAACTGCAATCAGCTTCATTGATTCCACCTGGCTTATCGCAGCAGCCAGTTTGTGCAATTCATTTTTCCAGTTGTCAGTTGTAAGTAAACGTTCTTGCCTTTCTTGAGAGAGATGCAATCGTTTTTTTATTATATCTTTTTTTTTTTGGTTATTTCCATTCATAGCACGCAAAAAGGAAAGGAAAATCTTTTTGGGGCACTGGGATGCAAAGATACACTGCGCTTGCACCAACGTTCTTCAAACGTTCTTTCGGCCTGAAACAGCAAAGTTCAATGTCGCGGTTGTGAATGCGCGCGGTTTTGCTGCTAGTTTTGGATTTCGCTGGATCGTAGTACTGTGTTTTGTTTGGCGATGATCGCGATGATCGCGAAGAAAATGGCTTAAATATTAATGGAGATTTTTATTGCAATATTTTAAATGTGTGGCAAAATAATAGTATAAATAATTAATATTATTTACAATTAATA